CAGCCCCTCCCCACCCACCCCTCCCCACCCAGCCCCATCCAGCCTCTCCCCACCCTCCCCACCCAGCCCCTCCCCACCCCTCCCACCCAGCCCCTCCCCACCCCTCCCCACCCAGCCCCACCCCTCCCACCCCCCACCCACACCACCCTCCCCACCAAGCCCCTCCCCACCCTCCCCTCTCCACCCAGCCCCACCCCTCCCATTTTTGGATGCACGACGGTTGGACACAATAATCCCCTGTGGGCTGGTGGTGTAACCAGGAGGTTCCTGCAAATATAAACGTTAACACTTACATGGGACTATCGTTTTTAATGGGAAAAATAACGGATAATAATAACAACATTATAGCACGATGACAAGTGTAATGTTAACATCTTCAACAGGTCAAAGAGTCTCCCAATTCATCTTCTTTGGTTCTTTCGGTAAAGTCACGTAGAATGAGAATAAAATAATAAATTGATAAAATAAAATAACACAATAATAATAATATTCTCACTGAGAATAATAATAATATTATCTCACTGAGAATATTATTGTGTTATTTTATCAATTTATTATTTTATTCTCATTCTACGTGGTGACTTTACCGAAAGAACCAAAGAAGATGAATCATTGCAGTCACGAAAGCTTTAAATCGAAATTAAGTCTCCCAATTGTTCACCATGGTTTTTAACACGCGGAGGCACATTCCTCGTGGCGTTGTTTCAAATTCTCGGGAGCGTTATAAACACATTTTATTCAGAAACACCCCTGCCGCCGACGATGCCGACGCGCGCGCGCCTTGATTGTCTCGTGCACGGCTGTGACTTGTCAGCTGCGGCGCGAGGGGGCCGTCCATAAATGACGTCACGCGATTTTGGACGATTTTTGACCCCCCCCCCCACTCCTCTTCGTCACACGGCGTCACAAAAAGTCAGACCTCCCCCCCCCTTAAATATGACGTCACAAAGCTATGCCCCCCACCCAAATATATAAAACATGCTTCAAATCATTGTAGTGCGCATTTAATGTGGCGCTGCACTCTGATGTTGTAGGAGAAAAACATTTATTAAAAAATCTATTTAATTAAGTAGAACGCGTTGTTTACATTTATTTAAAGTTGCTGCATTTTGACGTGACGTCACATTTCTCACAACCCCCCCCCCCACCACGTCATACATCGTCATAAATGTCTGACCCGCCCCCACCACCTCCCTAGGTGCGTGACGTCATTTATGGACAGTCCCCAAGGTGTCACCCCGCCGGGTCCGCCTCTGCCCTCCCCACCGACCCCCGTAGGGTGCTGAAGAGTGCCTGCGTTCGTCTTCTGTGGTTCTTTCGGTAAAGTCACCACGTAGAATGAGAATAAAATAATGAATTGATAAAAAATAAAATAACGCAATAAAATTCTCACGACGTTTCGTGACAATTTTATTGTGTTAGGAGATGAATTTTATTGTGTTAGAAGATGAATTTTATTGTGTTAGAAGATGAATCCTTGCAGTCACGAAAGCTTTAAATCGAAAAGTGTCTGCGTTATGAATGGGCACGGGGAGAAACGCGTCTTCCGTACACGCACGCAAGTTACGTAATAGCACGCGGCATTCAGAGAACGGCGCCTCCAGTCTCGGCTCTTTTCTCTCCGAGTCCGTGCGCTCGTGTGTCGCGCCGGCCTTGGCAAGGTGCTCGCGAACAGCGCTTGGCCCGACGGTCTGTGCAAAAGGCTGCACGGGGTCGATCTTCGTCTGTGTGTGGTGTGCGGGTGGATGTGGGGCCACCCGAGTTCCATTCCCGCTCACGGACCACCACCGGTGAAGATTATCTGAACCGGTCCTGGGCCTCACCTAGGTCGACTCAGCCTCGAATGAGTACCTGGTGCGGTGTGTTAACAGCGCCACTGGGGAGACAAAGGCGGCCGGGCGTGGTGTTGGCCACCCACCCCCTCGTGTGCCGTGCCGGCCTTCACAGGTGCTGCTCGCTAACAGCACTTGCCCCTACAGTCTGCTACAGGCTGTACGGAAGATCTTTGTCTTTGGATGAGTGGCATGCCGGCGTCATCTCCCACCATTTTATTGCCAAATTCCAAAAATGCCACCGCAAATTACTCGACTTGGACTACACAAAGCAGTAGCAATTCATCGCCCCACTTGCAGGCCAGGTGCCGCACAGGGACAGCTGCCGCTGGGGGTGCCCTTTCAAGTGCGTTGAGATGAGATGCGATATGAAGCGCGTTACGACGCCCTAACAAAAATGAATCTATATTATTATGATGATGATGATAATTATTCTTACGTGTGTGCATGCGCCAGGATCTCAGAGATTAGGGACACAGTCCCATCATCGGTTGGCTGGATCTCGCATGTGGAGTCATCGAGTGCTCAAGCAGCTTATGTTTAGCCGGATAGAGGGGCCTAAACGGGCCCGGCACGGGCTATAGAAGAGATGGAGTGACGCGGTACAGGAGTACGCGGAGCTGAGTGGACTTTGCTGATGACTGATACCAGCGGTGTCAAGATCGGCCTCTGTGGAGGAGGAGGAGGCTCGTGAAGGACGCTGCTGCTACTGGGCTAGTTGGAGGCAGTCGCCCTCCAGCAACAACGGAGGGCGGAGGAGCGACGCTCAGCAGATGGGCTGATGGTGCGCAGGGTAATAAAGCCACATGCTCGTAGCCGGAGGCGATAGATCCAGAGAGAAAGAGAGGAGAGACAGTGGGGTCCGACCGATACACCGAGTTTTAACAGAACTCTCTTGCCCGTGATAATGGTTTATGATGAGAGGAATTCACCTGAGCGGACGTTTGGCAGAGATTGATGCTGGACAAGGGTGGGAGGTTATTCGAGAATTTATGGTTAAAAAAAAATCGATCAAGGCACGGGCGGGATTCGAACCCGTGGATCTTTGGTTTACGAAACTGACGCCTTCACGCTTGGCCACCGCGGTGTAGCGGTCAGGGCCGTCCATAAATGACGTCACACGATTTTGGACGATTTTTGACCCCCCCCCCTCGTCGTCATAAAAAGTCAGACCCCTCCCCCTCAAATATGACAAAGCTCTGCCCCCCCCAAACCATATTTCCATTTTGAAAATAAAACATGCTTCAAATCGCTTTATTGCCATTGTAGTGCGTATTTAATGTGGCGCTGCACTCTGATGTTGTAGGAAAAAAAACATTTATTAAAAAGTCAATTTAATTAAGTAGAACGTGTTGTCTATATTTATTTAAAGTTGCGCATTTTGACGTGACGTCACATTTCTCACCCCCCCCCCCACTTCGTCACAAATGTCTGACCCCCCCCCCCCTAGGTGCGTGACGTCATTTACGGACGGCCCCTCAGCCACCTGCGCTACGAAACCCAGCTGGGCTCACGAGTTCGATCACCGCTCACGGCCAACCACCAGTGACGATTATATTGAACCGGTTTCCGGGCACTCCCCGAGGCCGACTCAGCGCTTAAAATCATCGCCACTGGGGGAGACAAAGACGGCCAGGCGCGGTGTTGGAACTCCCCCCCCCCCACCCGTGTGTGTGTGCCGTTCCGGCCTGTTAGGTGATACTCGCTACTAGCAGCTGTCCCAGCGGCTCGTTAAGGCGATACGTGGAAATGTCCGATGAGACTACGGTATATTTAAGTGCAATGACAAAAGGACCGTTGCCTGAAACGTCGCCCATGATGTCGTTTTTTTCCTTTTGAGGCCACATCTTTTGGGTTTTTGCGTATTGTTATTTTTGCACCAATGCCAAAGAAGCATCATCATCAGCAGCAGCATCGTCGTCACCAAATTGTTTAATATTGGCAAGAGATGAGGTGCATATCTGAGGATTCGGTCAAAGACTGAATGAGCACAATCACCAATAATACACTGTAATTAATTACCATTCATGGTGTAGTTTAATTAATACACAAGAGACTGAATGAATGGTTATTGAGTGATACAATTAGCGAATTCTTCAATTAAATTACAATGATCTTATACGTAAAATAATCGATCCATGTCTGAATTAATCGAACCAAAAATCAGCTAATGATTAAGCGATAGCTTAAGCCGTGAATTAATCGATGATTTAATCCACGAAATAATCGACACAGTCACTCACTAATGCATTAATTAGTTTATGCATGGAAGAATCAATTCACAAGTCATTCAATTATCCAGGAATCGATCACGTATCTTTCCGTGAATGAATTTACGAACGACGGCATTGATGAATGAATTAGGTCAATGGACCGCAACGAATGAATATCAAAGCACAAGGAATGAGATTAATGAACCACGTTGAATGTTGGGCCATAATACACACACGAACGCAGTCAATAAACCACAGCTAATTATCCCAATGAGCCGCAATTAAAAAAAAGCTAATGACCACAGCTAATGATGAAGCCAAATAAAACAAACGAGAAATCCCAAATGAACCCCACAAACAAATGAGAAATCCCAAACGAACCCCACAAACGATCGAGAAATCCAAAACGCACCCACAAACGAACGAGAAATCCCAAACGAACCCCACAAACAAACGAGAAACCCAAAACGAACCCCACAAACGATCGAGAAATCCTAAACGCATCCACAAACGAACGAGAAATCCCAAACGAACCCCACAAACGAACGAGAAATCCCAAACGAACCCCACAAACAAACGAGAAATCCCAAACGAACCCCACAAACGAACGAGAAATCCCAAACGCACCCACAAACAAACGACAAATCCCAAACGAACCCCACAAACTAAACGAGAAATCCCAAACGAAACCACAAATGAAACCACAAACGAATGAATGACCGAACGTAATTTGAATCCGAGGCGTGCCGAACCGCCCCGCACCAACAATGCGCGAATGCAACTCGCCCTGGGGGCTCTAACACCACCCTCGCCCACCTCCCCCACTCCCCCCGGTTCGCCTTACCCGCCCCACTGCCGCTCGGCGCTCTCGAATTGCCCCCGGGGCGTCTTTCGCTTCGCGCTCTTTTCCTCCGGGGGTGGGGGGGGGGCGGGGCAAGAAGGGAGGAGGGGGCGGGGCTCTTGAAGCCACGTAGCCGCGCGACTCCAGCAAGCAACGCAGCAGCCGCCACCACCACCGCCTCACGATGGGAGAGGTGCACCTAGCCAGGCACATGTTCCTGTGGGGCATGAGCGCCATTTACCTGTTCGCCTTCGCCTCTCTCTACGTGCAGATCCCAGGTAAAAACGAAGGCGACGTTGGGGTGGGATAAGGGGTGGAGAGCCAGGCGAATCGGCCACCCCTCCCCCCCCCACCGAGGGTGCGGCCTTCACCGGTGCTCGGATAGATCCCCGGCCGAGGGAGGTGGCGCGTCTCGCCCCAGGGCTGGGCCGGCTCTGACCGACCGCCCGCCCGTCCTGCCCGCCCTCGCTGAAATTCTATTGTAGAGTCGATTTAACAAAAACTAAACCGTGTGCTTAGCAGTGACATTGCCTCCTCGTTATATTTTATTGCGCGAATACACGAGCCGGGTGTTTTATTTTAAAAAATAATTTTATTGACCAATATGCACGGTTCCCCGCCCTCGTTTCGCATTGCTCCGTTAGAGCCCAAATGATCCATCCATCCATGCCATATTGCCGTTCTAATGTTTGTGAGCATTGTCTTCTCGTGTGCCCTGAAGCTCTGCTTGCCGTAACTTTCTGCGGGGTGGCCACGCTTCTGGGTTCCACGGGGGGTGAAATTTACTCGGGTTAACTCGTGACGGCGGGGTGGTGGGATTGTTGGCTGGATTGTGGTGGTGGTGATGATGATGATGATTTAATGGCCGAGAGAGAGAGCGAGAGAGTTTGCAAGCGATTCCATTGCCTTTGAGGCTCGTGACTAAAAGCAATTTTGCCTCGGTGAATTTCAGAAATAGTGCGTCGCGGTTAGGTAGGCATCTTTATTAAACGTAGTCGACAAATCCTCGTGGTTATTGTCTTAGTCGAGTTCACTCGATCTTGAATGTAGTAGGTTTTGTTTTAGTCTCAGCTCGGTCATTTTTTTGGGGGGGCACGTGGCTGGCACGGTCATCATTTCTTCTTCTTGGGCTGGTCTACTCACGAAAGCCAGAGATTCGGTACAAACGCCCTTAGTTATTAATACAGTAATCATCATAGGCTTAGCCATTCGGCGAACTCTGTAAATCTGGTTCATAAGCACAAACACACGCACACGTGCAGTCTAGACGATACCCAATTACCAGTAATAGCGCCGCAGTCTATGAGACCGTAACTCAATTAACTTCAGTCACACTCATTTAGCTTCGTCTCCTTACAGTCGGTCGCTGTTTGGTCTTTGGTGGGTAGATGATTGATGATGGTGATGGTATTGGTGGGAGACGATGATAATGATGGTATTGGTGAGTAGATGATGGTTAATGGTGGGTAGATGATTGATGATGGTGGGTAGATGATGATGGTGATGATGGTATTGGTGAGTAGATGATGGTTAATGGTGGGTACATGATGATGGTGGGTAGACGATTGATGATGGTGGGTGGATGATGATGGTAGGTAGATGATGATGGTGGTAGGTGGATGATGATGATGATGGTGGGATGATGATGGTGGGATGATGATGGTGGGATGATGATGGTGGGATGATGATGGTGGGATGATGATGCTGATGATTTTGGGGAGATGATGCTGATGGTATTGGTGAGTAGATGGTGGCGATGGTATTTGTGGTATTGATGTTATTGGTGGGTAGATGATGATGATGATAGTATTGTTGGGCAGTCTTAGTCATCGTCACGCTGGATGCTTATTGTCCACTCGGTCATATTTAACTGAAATAACCAATTCACGCTCCCTTGCGGGTCATCATTTCGGTGGGCACACATTTTTTAGCTTTTGGATTTTAAATATTGAATTAATATTATCGATTCAGAGAGACGCATGGCTCTTTGTATCATGGGAGTAATAATTGTTAAACTCAACTGTACATTATTATTTTTATTTACCAGGTAAGGCCCACTGAGCTATATATTTTCTTTTTCAGAAGCAACCTGGCCACAAATGATAGCTCAACGAAGTGGCTTATCACGTGGAAATGTATATCAGTCAAATACTCTAAATGCACGTTGATTCTAAATGTGGAGAGAAAAACCGGGGGACCTGGAGAAAAATCTACGCGGAAGGGAGAGAGAGAGATGCAAACTATAAATATTCAGCAGGTATTGGGGTCTGGATCGAACCCACGACCTCCAGTATCCCAGGCGAGGCGGTTAACATCTGGCCACCGTGGCGCCCCACGGTGGCCAGATGTTAACCGTTACGTGCATGGGAGTTCCAGATGGGCAACTTTCAACTTATTACCATGTGCCAGTTGGAATATGGAATTAGGAGTGCAATTTATGCTACAGCGTTCAGGTAGCAACGTGTGGTCGTGGTGTAGCGGTCAGCACGCCGGACTTGCAATCCAGAGGGTTGCCGATTCGTTTAATTCTCCCGTCGCTGCAGTTGAAACTACGGACATGTCGCTTGAATTCCTCCACCTCTGTCCAGACCCTGCAGTGTACACGGGTACACCACACACACACACACACGCGACCACACTGAGTCTATCGCTCGTGGCGGGGTACAGTGTAGGCGCCCCCACCTCTTTCGTTAAGACGATCTGGCCAGCGTGGAAGAGTAGGCCAAACACCGTCCGCTGGGGCTATACGAACCTTGACCTGGTTGAGGTTGCCAACCCGCTCGACCATTCCACCGCCGCAGCATCCCTTGAACCCGACCCGACCCCCTTCCCGAATCGTTCCGCAGGTCTGTACGGCCGCGAGGGCATCCTCCCCGCGCGCAAGCAGCTGAGCCCCCAGGGCAAGCCGGAGGCGCAACTGATGTGGGAGCGCCCCACGCTGCTGTGGCTGGCGCCGCGCCTGGGCCTGGACGTGGAGCAGGGCATGGAGCTGGCGTGCCTGCTGGGCGCGGGCCTCTCGCTCTCCGCAATGGTCTTTGAGCCGATGCGCGACGCCTTCACCTTCCTGTGCCTCTGGGTGCTCTACCTGTCGCTCTACCAGGTGCGGCAGGCGATGGGAGGACACGGCAGAGTGCGTGCGCAGGGTAGTGGAACAATAAAAAAAAAACCAAAACCCTCGACACGTTCATGAATATCACTGTGGTGTTGAAAAGAAAAAGTACTTAGTAGGTGACGTTTCAGGCAATGGCCATTATTCACAGCACATCGTAACGGTCGGCCGAGTACTGAGTCAGCCAGATGGCTTCATATATTTGCTACACAGGGTGCTTAAAGAATATATGCGACCATTGTTTTTAATGGAAAAATAACGTGCAATAATACACTAACACGGTAACAAATGTAAATGTTAATGGCTTCAAAAATTCAAAGAGTCTCCCACTTGTTCGCCATCATTGTCAACACGTGCCTGGGATCCTCTCCAGGTGCTCGGAGCCCGGAGGCAAATTTCTCGTGGTATTGTTGCAAATGCTCAGAAGTGTTGAACATCTTTTTTAAGCACCCTGGAAAAGTGTTAATAATATATAGTGTTATAATAACATACAGGGTGCTTTAAAAATGTCTTAACACTTACATGGGGCTTTTGTTTTTTATGGAAAAAGAACGGACAATAATAAGAATGTAACGCGATAACAAATGTAATGTTAATAGCTTAAAAAAGTCAAAAGAGTCTCCCACCTGTTCGCCATCGTTGTCAACGCACGCCTGGGATCTTCTCCAGGTGATCCACAGAGCACCGAGGCAGCAGCACATGTCACGTGGTGTTGTTGCAAATTCTCAGAAGTGTAAACATTTTTTTTTTGAAGCACCCCTGTATTTGCAGTTACAGTTGAACTCCTCTGTGACGAGGTGGTCGGGCGGTGTTCCTGTCTGCCATCTACCCAGAGTTCACCGGGAACCATTCACCAGCCCCACACCCTGCTAACTTCCACAGTGTGTCCAGCCCTTATTGTCGAACTTTGGCTATTTGAGGGGCCTCCTCCCCCCCCCGCCCGCAGGCCGTACGGGTCTTGGGCGTTTTTGACCATACTTCACCGCACTGGTCGGCTTGGGTTGCGTGAAGGGCGCGAGAGACCCAGAGACACCGCTCGCTCGCCGCCGACTTTAGCCATGACCGGGAATTGAACTCGGGCCGCCGGGTTCGTAGCGCACTGCGTCGCAACGCCAGCCCTTGATTATCGTCTTGCGTGTGCGTTCACCCTCCCGGCGCTGCAGTTGAAACTGCGGGACACGTTGCTTAAATGTACAACGTTGTGGGACGCCGTTGGCGTGAGAATGATGCGACATAAAATGAAAGTAATTATTACGTGGTCATTGCAGTGCAAACTCTTATATAAACCAGATGCCACCCCCCCCCCCCCCCCCCCCCCCCCCCCCCCCCCCGGAAAGGGCATGTCTGTGTGTCCTGGCTTGTACATTAATCATTAACAGCCACGCACAAAGAGGAGCTGCACAGGCCATGTGTTTAATGCAGAGAAGCGTCAGGAGGTCGTAACGCCTGATTGTTGAGATTTTAGTTGGTGCAATTTCACAGTGATAATATCTTTCTTTGTGATTGATTTTTCAATGTTTTTTGCTCTCATTCTCCCACAGGTTGGACAGGTGTTCCTTTATTTCCAGTGGTGAGTACAACGTTTGTTCCAAATCGGTACTCTTCAATCACTCTTTCAGCAGTAATTAAGTAATTTGCATGGTATATTTTGTCATTACACTTGTCAACGGCGGCGTCTATGCATCGTCTCCATCTTCCCGTCTGTCCGTGACGTGGGAGAGAGGGCACGGTAACTCTCGTCAGGTTGATCCAGTAGGATGCAAACTTTAGTTGAGTGTCGCGTTGCTATTAGGGATTTACCGCGGAGAAAACCGGGTCACAGTCTCTCTGCCCTCTCTGTGCTCTGTGAAGAAGGGCCATTGCCTGAACCGTCGCCTATTATCGCTTTACCTTTAAGGCCCCGGTGTTATCGACGTGTGTGCGTGTGTTGAGTTTATCTCGCGTATCGGACTGCGAGCTGAGGACCGCTCAATCCGATGGGCGCTGCGCTGTCCCGCGCAGCTATGTACGTACGTGCGTTAAACTTCATTCGCGCACCGTACTTAGCCAACCGTGCTAATCGGAAGTGCGGGGGAAAGACAACAAACGAAACACAAAAAGCAGTTCTAAAGAGAAATGAGTTTTCAGTTCAGAAGTGCATTGCTTGCTAATATCGGAAGGAAGAGCATTCCAGACAGCCGCAGCAGCGCATCTGAAAGCGCCTTCCTGATACGGTGACCATCTTTGTTTGACGGCAAGTCAAAAGCCGCTGCTGCTGCTGCTGCGAGGATGCCCGGAGTTCGCGTTGGTGGCTTATGGTCCTTGACGAGATCAGCGAGGCATTGTGATTCATTTGTGGCGCACGCACTTTGCGTGCGAGTGTAACAAGCGCGGCCTCGCGAACGCGTTCCGGAAGCCAACGGAGCTCGGCGAGCTGTGACCGCGGCCGCTTGCACCATCGGCTGTCGCCCTCTTCCCCGCCCGCCCCCCCCCCCGGCAGGGACAACCTGCTACTGGAGACCGGCTTCCTGACGATGCTGGCGGCCCCGCTCCGGCTGGTCAAGTGGCGCCCGGCCACCCAGCGGCCGCACGATGGCCTCACCTTCTGGCTGCTGCGCTGGCTCCTCTTCCGTCTCATGTTCGCGTCAGGGGTCGTCAAGCTCACCAGCCGATGCCCCACGTGGTGGACGCTGTCCGGTGAGAGGTGCCCTCCAACTCCCGCTGCTAGTCCTCCTCCTCCAACTCCTCTGTGTAAAGCTACGTGTCTCTGCGCGGGTCTGTGGATCTCTGTGCGAATCTGTGGGCGCTTTTCCGCCCCCGCAGCCCTGAACTTCCACTACGAGAGCCAGTGCATCCCTACACCGGCGGCGTGGTTTGCCCACCACCTCCCTGGCTGGGTGCAGCAGCTGAGCGTGGTGGCCACCTACGCCATCGAAGTGCCCGTGCCCGTGCTGTTCTTCTGCCCGCTGCGCCGCGTGCGCATCTTCTCCTTCTACGCGCAGGTCAGAGTCGTCATTGCCGTCACGCCACCGTCACACCACCGTCACGCCACCGTCACACCACCGTCACACCACCGTCACGCCACCGTCACGCCACCGTCACGCCACCGTCACAACACCGTCACGCCACCGTCACGCCACCGTCACACCACCGTCACACCACCGTCACGCCACCGTCACACCACCGTCACAACACCGTCACGCCACCGTCACACCACCGTCACGCCACCGTCACACCACCGTCACAACACCGTCACGCCACCGTCACGCCACCGTCACAACACCGTCACGCCACCGTCACACCACCATCACGCCACCGTCACGCCACCGTCACACCACCGTCACACCACCGTCACACCACCGTCACACCACCGTCACACCACCGTCACGCCACCGTCACGCCACCGTCACACCACCGTCACACCACCGTCACGCCACCGTCACACCACCGTCACGCCACCGTCACACCACCGTCACACCACCGTCACGCCACCGTCACACCACCGTCACGCCACCGTCACACCACCGTCACGCCACCGTCACGCCACCGTCACACCACCGTCACGCCACCGTCACACCACCGTCACACCACCGTCACGCCACCGTCACGCCACCGTCACACCACCGTCACACCACCGTCACACCACCGTCACACCACCGTCACGCCACCGTCACGCCACCGTCACGCCACCGTCACGCCACCGTCACGCCACCGTCACACCACCGTCACACCACCGTCACACCACCGTCACACCACCGTCACGCCACCGTCACGCCACCGTCACGCCACCGTCACACCACCGTCACGCCACCGTCACACCACCGTCACGCCACCGTCACACCACCGTCACACCACCGTCACACCACCGTCACACCACCGTCACGCCACCGTCACGCCACCGTCACACCACCGTCACACCACCGTCACACCACCGTCACACCACCGTCACACCACCGTCACACCACCGTCACACCACCGTCACACCACCGTCACGCCACCGTCACGCCACCGTCACGCCACCGTCACACCACCGTCACGCCACCGTCACACCACCGTCACACCACCGTCACACCACCGTCACACCACCGTCACGCCACCGTCACGCCACCGTCACACCACCGTCACACCACCGTCACGCCACCGTCACACCACCGTCACACCACCGTCACACCACCGTCACGCCACCGTCACGCCACCGTCACACCACCGTCACACCACCGTCACACCACCGTCACGCCACCGTCACGCCACCGTCACGCCACCGTCACGCCACCGTCACACCACCGTCACACCACCGTCACACCACCGTCACACCACCGTCACGCCACCGTCACGCCACCGTCACACCACCGTCACGCCACCGTCACGCCACCGTCACGCCACCGTCACGCCACCGTCACGCCACCGTCACGCCACCGTCACGCCACCGTCACGCCACCGTCACGCCACCGTCACACCACCGTCACACCACCGTCACACCACCGTGACCGCGACAGCCACGGCCGCCGTGTGCCCAAAAGTTCTACCGTTACCACAGCCTGCCACACGCAGCCGCTTAGGCACCTACAGCACGGAAAGTTCCCCAAGCTCCAATGTCCTTTGGCTGTTGATTGGCTGTTTGATTGTCCGTCGTCGTCGGCCGTGATGAATCCACGTGCAAGCGCGTGCAAGCGCGTGTCTCTCGTCGCCAGGTCCTGCTGCAGCTGATGATCATCGTCACCGGCAACTACAACTTCTTCAACCTCCTCACGCTGGTGCTGTGCCTGTCCCTGCTGGACGACCGCCACGCCTCGTGGCTGCTGCGCCAGCGTCGCCCCCCCCAGCAGCTCAAGGGTGCGGGGACGCGTGTCGCGCACGGCGCAAACGGACCGGGACGAGCGAGCGATCGTTCGTTCGTTCGTTCGTTCGCGCGGGGAGGCGGGGCGTGATGATCGACGCGCGAGCGTGCCCGGGTCATTCACGCGCGACCAATATTGTGTCACGATCCTTGGGTGGGATCGTACAACCTCCTGCGCCCGGCGCGGCCAATGGGTGAAGTTGTCGCGCGATGAACGGACGTTGTTGTGTGGGTCGTTCTCCCCAACACTAACGCCCGGTGGTGCTCAATGCAGAAATACGTTGTCCACGATAATACAGGTTACATTTTTGTTCGTTTTTTTTTGTGGGTTAGATCGCGTGATTGTGAACAAAACGTTATCCACGTTTTGTTCATCGTTTTGTTCAACGTCATCCACGTTTTGTTCATCACGTGACAACTTGGCTGCTTCGACGATGAATAAAGAACGGTTTACGACACGGCATATTACACCTTGCGTGGCAGACTGACCCGGAAAAATCGACGATGAATCGTGACGAAGTCCGATTGTTCGAAAGCGTTTTGGGGTTTGGGCCACGTTTACCCATCCAGGCCATGCCTACAAACGCATGCCTATTTAGCCGCCCATTCGGCATCGATAGGCGCTCGCTTATCAACGGCACTTGCCCCCAACGGACCGTGCAACCTACACGGGGGACCACCGTGTTTGCGTGCGCACGACAGGTCAGCAGGCGTCACCCTGGTTTGACCGGCTGGCGTGGCTGGCCGAGTGCGGTGTGTACGGCGCACTCGTCTTCTGGACCGTCACTTACTTCAACCTCAAGGTGGACTGGGAGAGGGGCGTCGTGGAGTCCAAGATCGGTGAGGGAGTGATATTCACCTGTGTGTGTGTGTGTGTGATGTTGGCCTCCCACCCCCTCGTGCGCCGTGCCAGCTTTCATCGGTGCTGTTCGCTTAAAGCACTTGCCCCAACAGTCTGTTAAGACTACGGGGCGGGGGGGGGGTCTTTGTGTGTGTGCGTGTGTTCTGGAGGGGGGAGCGGTACTGGAGCGGTTAGCGCGCTGCGCTATGAACCTGGCGACCCGGTTTCAATTCCTGCTCACGGCCAACACTAGTGAGGATTATTTGAATTTGTCCTGGGCCTCCCCTAGGTTGACTCGGCCTCAAATGAGTACCTGGTGTGGTGTGTAAACATCGCCACTGGGGAGACAAAGGCGGCCGGGCGTGGTGCTGGCCACCCACCCCCCCCCCCCCGCTGTGTTCCGTGCCGGTCTTCATAGGTGCTGCTACACGCTAACTGCACTTGCCCCAGCAGTCTTAAAGCTATACGGGGGGGGATCTTGTCTGTGTGGTGCGGTGTGTAAAATCATCGCCAATGGGGAGACAAAGGCGGCCGGGCGTGGTGTTCGCCACCCACCACCTCGCGTGCCGTGCCGGCCTTCACAGGTGCTACTCACGAACAGCACTTGCCCCTACAGTCTGTTACAGGCCAAACCGGGCACATCGGTGGTTTGCGTGCGTTGGCAGGTTTCACCTACTATGACTTCATGGGCTGGCTCAAAGATGCCGTGCCCATCACCATGTGGATCGGAGGCCTGTCGCTGGCATGGGAGGCTTTGGCAGCGCTCTACCGGTGAGCTACCATCTCACGCCTCCCACCCCCTCGTGTGCCGTGCCGGCCTTCATGGATGCTGCTCGCTAACGGCGCTCGTCGTCGTGAAATCATCGTCGCCGTCGTCGATGCTGACGAGGCCTCGTGGCCGCCCGCTCGACGCTTGTCGCAGAGATTTCCCTTTCGACTCGAGTGGCTACGCGACCGTATGCTTTGCAGGCATCACGGTTACGGGTTTTCCCAAATGTGAAGAATTACACCGCGAATTTACACAGAACTACACAGAAATGATCGCCCCTCCCCCCCTGTAAAACTACTTTGTAAAACTACTTTATAAAACTACTGTGACTTGGTCAGGCATTCCTGGGTAGTCATGATCAATCTACTGCTGCATGAAAGCCATCCCCTTCGCCACCCTCCTCGCCACACGCATCCGGGTAAAACCCGCGCGTGCGAGGGAGCAACGCTGTATCACCTGCAGATGGAACAGATAGGGATTAGTCTGCCACGCACTTTGCTTCTACCGCCTTCTCCTGGCAAGCCGTGGTACGAGCTCCTCCTCGCCGCCCACGGGAAGGGAGGTTTTCGACCCATCTGTGCGTGATCCACCAACCCTCGGCGCTGTCTCCAGAGTGCTGGGTTACAGGCAGCCACGTGCAGCAGCGAAGCCACCATTGCTCGGCTCATTGGGCTTGCGTCATCACCATGATCAGAAACTTTTATTTAGACCAGCGGGGGTTAATCCGATGAGCTATGAAGCTCTGTTTTTCACAGATGTCCAGTAGGGGTGGGTCGGCAATTTACAACAATAAATGAATTGCATATATATGGGCAAGGCTGCAAAACAAGTACAAACATAAACCAAGAAAGTCCCAGACCACGCCTAGACAACACACAGTCCGTAAAATTATTGATACAAGGTGGTTAACTGTGTGTGTTCGTGTGTGCCTGTGTGCGCGTGCGTGTGTGTGCGTGCGTGTGTCTGCGTGTGCGTGCATGCGTGTGTGTGCGTGTGTGTGCGTGTGTATGCGTGCGCGTGTGTGTGCGTGTGTGCGCGTGTGTGCGTGTGCGCGTGTGTGCTCGTGCGTGTATGCGGGGTGGTCCGGCTGTGGAAGCTGTGCGTGCCAGCGCGGATTCTTCTGGAAGTTTTGGACGACGCTGCAGTGCGCCATCTTCCTCTTGGCCACGGCCGGGATGTTCACCATCAGCCTGGTGAGTGACGTGCGTGAGCGTGCGTGAGCGTGCGTGCGTACGTGAGCGAGCGTGCGTGAGCGAGCGTGCGCGTACCCTCTGATTAGCACGGTTGGCTACGTATGGCGCGAAATGAGTAAAAATATATACATAGGGGCGGTGCGCGCGCGTGTGTACCTGAGCGAGCCTGCGTGTACCTTAGTGGCGTGAGCGAGTGTACGTGAGCGAGCGTGCGGGTGCTCGAGTGCCGTGTGCATGCGTGTCACAAACAGTGGCTGAAGTGGTTAGCGCGGTGCACTACGAAACCTGATGAGCTCAAGTTAGATTTCTGCTCGCAGCTAACCTCTGCGATGAATATCTGAATCGGGCCTGGGCCTCCCCTAGGTCGGCTTGGCCTTAAAATATATGAATTCCCCGTGCTGCGTGTAAAGACATCACCGACGGGGAGACGGCATCCTGGCATCGTGCTAGCCCCACCACCCCCACCTCGTGTGCCGTGCCGGCCTTCACAGCTGCTGCTCGGGATAACGACGCTTGCCCCCAGCAGTCTGTACCAATACCAATCCCCGCCATTCGCCACCGAGTGACGGTGACGTCACCACGGTACCTGTGCCAGGCCAGGTGCACTTAAGAGACCACGCGAAGTGCCGAAGGCTCGCTGACAGGAGGTCGCGGGGACAGACCCGGCACGTGCCATGGGTTGACCGATCCGAGATGACCGGCAGATGCACCACCAGCTGTTACCCCCTACCGCGCCTTTCCGTGGTGCTGGCCCTTCACCGCACCGCGCGCAAGTGCGTCCACCGCGCGTGGCCCCGCCTCGGGAATCGATCGGGCCGCTTCGTCCTTTCGACCGGCCGCCTGTAACGCCCGCGCGGAAGCTCCACGCGACCCTCCGGGACTTCCCGGCGCACGTCACTCTTCGTGTCCCCCCGCCCGCTCCCCGCCAGGTGCCGTACACGTACCTGCAGCAGGACGCGCACGCGGCCCTGTGGCCCGGCGTGCGTCGCGCCCACTCCTCCCTCGAGCACCTGCACCTCACGGGATCCTACGGGCTCTTCCGCCGCATGACCGGGGTCGGGGGTCGCCCGGAGGTCGTCATCGAGGGCAGCCACAGCATGAGCGGCGGCTGGAAGGTGCGCGAGCCGGCGTGGGATGGGGGGGGATGGTGATGCATGGGCGAGCGATAGCCGCGGCTGGCGGATGTGCGCTTGAGGTTTCTTTGCCGTGGTGGTGGTGGTTGTGGTGCGTGGTTGTGTGTGTGGTGGTGGTGGTTGTGCCATGGTTAGAAAGCTGCGCTACGAACCCGGCGAACCGAGTTCGAGTCCCCCTCACAGCCAACACGTTATCTGAAACGGTCCTGGGCCTCCCCTAGGTCGACTTGGCCTCAAATGAGTACCTGGTGCAGTGTGTGTAAACATCACCACTCGGGAGACGAGGGCATTCAGGCATGGTGTTGGCCACCCACCCCCCTCATGTGCTGTGCTGACCTTCATAGCTGCTGCTCGCTAACAGCACTTGCCCCTACAGTCTGTTAAGGCTACACGGGGGGGTCTTTGAGATGGTGTTTGTGGTGATGGGTTATGGAGGTGGTTGCGGTGTTGATAGCGGTTGTAGTACCATTGTAATGGTTGTGGCGTTGGTAGCGGTTGTAGTACTGCTGTAATGATTGTGGCGTTGGTAGCGGTTGTAGTACTGCTGTAATGATTGAGGTGTTGGTAGCGGTTGTAGTACGGTTGTATTAATTGTGGTGTTAATAGTGGTTGTAGTACAGTTGTAATGATTGTGGTGTTGGTAGCGGTTGTAGTACGGTTGTAATGGTTGCGGTTGCGGTGTTGATAGTGGTTGTAGTACGGTTGTAATGGTTGTGGTGTTGATAGTGGTTGTAGTACGGTTGTATTGGTTGTGGTGTTGGTAGTGGTTGTAGTACGGTTGTAATGGTTGTGGTGTTGGTAGCGGTTGTAGTACGGTTGTAATGGTTGTGGTGTTGATAGTGGTTGTAGTACAGTTGTAATGGTTGTGGTGTTGATAGTGGTTGTAGTACGGTTTGTAATGGTTGTGGTGTTGGTAGAGGTTGTAGTACAGTTGTAATGGTTGTGGTGTTGATCGTGGTTGTAGTACGGTTGTAATGGTTGTGGTGTTGATAGTGGTTGTAGTACGGTTGTAATGGTTGTGGTGTTGATAGTGGTTGTAGTACAGTTGTAATGGTTGTGGTGTTGATCGTGGTTGTAGTACGGTTGTAATGGTTGTGGTGTTGGTAGCGGTTGTAGTACGGTTGCAATGGTTGTGGTGTTGGTAGCGGTTGTAGTACGGTTGTAATGGTTGTGGTGTTGGTAGCGGTTGTAGTACTGCTGTAATGATTGTGGTGTTGGTAGCGGTTGTAGTACGGTTGTATTGATTGTGGTGTTGATAGTGGTTGTAGTACAGTTTGTAATGGTTGATGGTGTTGGTAGCGGTTGTAGTACGGTTGTAATGGTTGTGGTGTTGGTAGCGGTTGTAGTACTGCTGTAATGATTGTGGTGTTGGTAGCGGTTGTAGTACGGTTGTAATGGTTGCGGTGTTGATCGTGGTTGTAGTACGGTTTGTAATGGTTGATGGTGTTGGTAGCGGTTGTAGTACGGTTGTAATGGTTGTGGTGTTGGTAGCGGTTGTAGTACTGCTGTAATGATTGTGGTGTTGGTAGCGGTTGTAGTACGGTTGTAATGGTTGCGGTTGCGGTGTTGGTAGCGGTTGTAGTACGGTTGTAATGGTTGCGGTTGCGGTGTTGGTAGCGGTTGTAGTACGGTTGTAATGGTTGCGGTTGCGGTGTTGATCGTGGTTGTAGTACGGTTGTAATGGTTGCGACGGCGGCGGCGTTTTCGTTTGGCGCTGCCAGGAGCTGGAGTTCATGTACAAGCCGGGCAACGTGAGCGCCGCGCCTCCCGTCGTGGCGCCCCACCAGCCGCGCCTCGACTGGCAGATGTGGTTCGCCGCCCTTGGAGACCAGCAGCACAGCCCCTGGTTCAGCAGCCTCCTCTACCGCCTGCTGCAGGGCAAGCGCAACGGTAATGGCGCACGCCGCGTGCCCTGCCGTGCCGTTTGCTGGCAGCACTTGCCCCAACGTCCGGTGTGGGCTGAACGGGATCTTTGTCCTTGATGCACCTCTGCGTGTTTGTCTGTGAATCTACGCGTCTTTGTCGTTGTGTGGGGGGGGGCCTATGTCCGCGCGCGCGCGCGCGTGTGTGTGCGTGTGTGCGTGTGTGCGTGTGTAACCTTGATTCGAAGCTTTCGTGACTGCAGGAATCCACACTCTTTGGTGCTTTGGGTAAAGTCCACGTAAGGTAGAAAAAAATGAAATGAATCGCGACGTTTCTGGCGCAGCGCAAGCGTCCGTCATCATCGGGTGGGTGGCTTTCGCCTGTCAACTCCTGCCCAAAGAGCCTTCGACTCTTCAAGCGCACCTAGCTTGGCACAGATGCCGCGGTGACGTCACCGGTACCTAGTGGCGAATGGCGGCCGTGCGTGCGTGTGGGTTATCGCGCTGCGCTGCGAATCCGGCGACCCGGGGCTCGGATTCCCGCTCACGGCCGCCGACGCCGGTGACGATTACCGGAACCGTTCTCGGGCCGCAAGGTGGGTACCCGGAGCGGCGTGTCAACATCGCCGCTCGGGAGACGGAAGACGGTGCCGCCGTCCATCTGCCACCCCCTCCCCCCACCCCCCCACGTGCGCCGTGCCCGCCTTGGGGGGGGGGGGGGGGGGGGGGTGGGTCGATCTTTGCCTTCGCGTTGACGCGCGACCCCCCTTCTTCGACCCCCCCTTCTTCGACCCCCCTTCTTCCCCTCCCCGCCAGTGGAGCGCCTGCTGCAGGTGGACAGGAGCCGCTACCCGTTCAGCGACCGCCCCCCCACGTTCGTGCGAGCCCAGCTCTACAAGTACTCCTACACGAGCCCCGACAAGGACGGGTGAGCACGCGCACACAAAGACGAAGACCCCCCCCCCCCCCCGCCCCCCCCCCCCGCCTCCCCCCCGCCCCCCCCCTCCCGTACAGCCTCAACGCGCCGGTGCCGGACTTTGACTTGGTGTTCCACGTTCTCGCCGGAGGCGATCGACCTCGTGGTGACCCCGCGGGGGGGGTCGCGGCGGAGCTTTGACCCCAGCGGGTTTTCCCCCCACCCCACCCCACCCCCCCCACCACCACCCCACCAACCCACCACCACCCCACAGGTCGATGCCGGGCGAGTGGTGGCGCCGCGAGTTGGTCTCGGAGTTCTACCCGGCCGTCTTCCTCGGAGACCCCACCTTCGACGCCGTGCTCCGGCAACACGACTTCAAGGTGAGGGGGCGGGGGGGGGCACCCAGAGGGGCCACCCCTACCCACGGCGGCGAGCCCCCGGGTGCGCGGTGTGTGAACGCCATCGCTGGGCAGACGGAGGCTCCCGTGCGCGCGTGGCCGCCGACCACGCGATCATCGCCTCGTGCGCCGCCCGGGCCTTCGAAGGCGCCGCTGCTCGCTGGCGGCACTTGCCCCGGCAGTCTGTCAAAGGCCACACGGGGGATCTTCGTCTTTGTTGTTCGTCTCCCCCACCCCCACCAGGACCGCGGAAAGCCGAGGCAGGAGCCGGAGGGCGATTCCCCGGCGCCGATCCCGCAGCTGCTGAGCGGCGTGCGCGCCCTCGGCGAGCCGTACACGGGGCCCACCGTCGTCTGGTCGCTCTTCTCCGCCGCGGTGGCGGCCGTGGCGCTCGCGGCGCTCTTCAGACGGGCCCTGGCGCCGCGGCGGCCCCCGGCGGCGGCGGCGGCGACCGGCGGCGGCGGCGGCGGCGGCTCGGCCGGCGGCCGCGCGCGTGGCGGGCGAGACAGGCCGGGCACGGGCGGGCACAGCGCCGGCGACGCGCGGAAGAACGGCGGCGGGGATTCCGGCGCCAAGCAGCGCAGCAGGGCGGACGATGGCGGGAGCGGCGGCGCCCGCGGCAAGGCCGGCGGCGCCGCCGCCGCGTCCTCTCCCAACGCCGGCAAGGGCAAGAGCAAGAAGAGAGACTGAAGCGGAGCACGCGCGGGGGTGGGGGTAGGGGGGCGGTGGTCGGCCGCCCTAGGCGGGCGGTCTCCGTGCATGCGATTCGACGGTTCCTGTGAAACGGCACGGCCACTGCCAGGGGGCACGGCAGTGGCCGCGTTCGTTTCGACGCTCGGTTTTGCTTCGGACACCAAACGCTTGGGTGGGGGGGGGGGTTTCCTTGAGCGTATTTTTTTGTTGCCCACGTTGTTCCGTGACGAGCGGTCGAAAGCTTTCCGCTCCGTCGCTCGCGCCCTGCTGCAAAGGCACCAGGACCACTCTTGGCTTGGCACGGCATGGCACGCGCCCAAATTTTTCTTCTGTGTTGATGATCGCGCGCGTTTGGTTCAGATTTTCATTTTGTAATTTTTTTTATTTTACAAAAATCGGATAACCGGGTGCACGTGTGTTTTTTAGTTTAAGACGATACAGCAATGAGCTGCAATCGCGTTCGACAAATAATACCGCCCCCTATAATAGAGGTCTCTTGGGTTTAGATCGCGTGAATATAAACATGCCGTTAAGCCCGCCACCACCCGACACGGCCAGATTAGTGAAGGTTTGTGTCACACAAACAGAACGTGGCCAATTCGTTACTAGCACAGCACACACCAGTTGTGTGTTGGGAGTGAAAACCCACAATGTGACGTTTCGCCGGTAATTGCAACAACCGGCATCGTCAGGCGACAGCCACAGAGTTGTGGAGAAATCCTTTCCCCAATTCGGGTCTTAAAAAGTCGTATTTAATCGCGTGTATAGTTTACTGTTGTCTCGTTCTCGTTACTAATTGAGCACAGACGGAACTAATTCTGTTTGATTTTTTTCTTCACACCCCCCCCCCACACCCCCCCCCCACACCCCCCCGCACCCCCCACCCCCCCGTCGCGCCCTCGCAAAACCTCCCCAGATTTTTTTCAATCAAACTCTGCACACTTTTCGTTTCCCATTACGTGCGTCACAGTGTTATTAATGTAATGAAAGATCATCACCGTGAAATTGCCACCTTTCCACCGGTCGCATTTATAGTTGACGGGACAAACACACACACACACACGTATGCATATCTAAAAAAAAAAAATCAGACGGCCGTTATAATTAACACGTGGTCTTTATATACTAGATGAGAACACGGGGAAGGTGGCAAACCGGCGATCGGCCGTCTCGCTCGTTCGCATCTTCCTCCGCCGCCACTCGTCCGTTCCGTCCATCCGTCCGTCCATGCCCGCCGGGTGCACGGGTCGCGCAAAGTCGATTCCATTCTCTCGCTGTGTGCGTGTTCAGCTTATTTAGGCACCAACGTACGTAGCCAACCGTGCGAATTGGAGGTGCGGGAGGAAGATGACAAACTATGGGTCTCCTGTGAGTCTATGTATCTTGAACTTCTTTTGGCAGCAAAAGGTGCCGGGGGGGGGGGGGGGGAGAAGGACCACAAACTAAACACAATTTGCAGTTTGAAAGAAACGATTCTGTCAATCTGGATGACGAGTTAAAAGTTCCGTAGCTCCCTGTGGCTTCCTAAATATCGGAAAGGAAGAGCGTTCCAGACGGCCGCAGAGGCGCATCCGAAAGAGCCGCGCGATGATGCGGTGACCACCGTCTTTGTCCGATGGCTCGGCCCAAAAGCCGCTGCGAGGATGACCGGAGTTTGCATGTTTACCGTCGGCGTAAGCGTCGACTCCTCTATAGTTTTATTTTAATTTTATTTAACGTCTCGCTTGCCTACCTGCGGCCGCGCCCATTCAAACCGATCGCGGTGGGTTTACTCACCGGCAATAAAACAGAAGCTTTGTTAAAATGTTCAAACACCGAATAGATGATACCTTTCGCAAGGAATCAAGCTATCGCATTAACCACACACACAAACACGCGGTACTTGTGGAGAACATTCAAACAAACGTGGCTGTGATAATAATCTGTGGGCATTGTCTTTGACACTGATTGGCCTGCAGCAGAGACAGCAGGGCCCAGTCTCACCACCGGTGGTGTCGCCTTGTGGCGCTGTTCTCTGGTCTGACACTGCTGGTGAGACTGGGCCCTAAAGAAGGCTGTCGCTGTCTCTGCTGTAGGCCAATCACTTTCACAGACAATGCCCGTGTATTATTATTATCGGAGCCCTGTTTGAATGTTCACCACAAGTACCGCCGTGGGGCTAATGCGCAGTACTTGTTTCCATGCCTGAAAGGTTTAATCTATTTGGCGTTTGAACATCTTAACACAACTCTTGTTTCCATGCCAGAAAGGTTGAATCTATTTGGCGTTTAAACATCTTAACACAACTCTTGTTTCCATGCCAGAAAGGTTGAATCTATTTGGCGTTTAAACATCTTAACACAACTCTTGTTTCCATGCCAGAAAGGTTGAATCTATTTGGCGTTTGAACATCTTAACGCAACTCTTGTTTCCATGCAAGAAAGGTCTGGCGTGAAACCGATCCGCCTTTTTCGTGCTTGGATACTGGCAGAAAGGGTGTGTTGTTGTTGTTGTTTCCCACGACTTTCAAAAGTGTTATGCGTTGTACTCTTCATATCGTGGTCTGGTAGCTGCCCCCCCCCACCACACGTGGAGTGGATCGATCATGATTATGATGATGATCATAATTTAATGTACCAACTCGTTTTACTTTGGGGGGGGGGGGGGGGGGCGAAATACAGCCACAGTGGTGTTAGCGTTCGGCAGAGCAGCTGGAACTGCAATCCAGAGGTCGCCGGTTTTTAATCGTATCTCCCGGCGCGGCGGTCCAGGCAACGGTTACAGGTCGTCGCTCGCGTCAACCCGGCGGTATGTAAAAGGGCAGCTCGGCGCGTGTGGTGGGGGAGGGTAAACTGTGGGCACTGCAACCTCTACGAATATCCTCGCGTGGAGGCGCTTCTGCCAGCGGTGTTACGACGAGGAAATTACAGGTTTGGCTGGAGCCTGTACCTTTTTTTTTTTTACTTTACTCCCACCTTTTCATTTCATTTCTAAGGCTTGTTCAGCCACCTGCCAGGGGCCGCTGGGGCACAGGGGGCCCGTTGGTTGCGAGCGATCTCGTTGCCGCGAGTGCGAGCGCCGCTGGGAACCCCCCCCCCCCCCCCCGATCGGCGTCTGTCTCAACGAGGGGGGCCCCTTCCTTGGTTTGTAAAAGTTCTCGCTGATCATCGAAGGAGCTCGCAGCACGTGGGGGTGCCCGTGGGGGGTTGCGGAGGGAAGGGGGGGGGGGTGGGGAAAAACGTCGGACGATCGCACCGGCGAAACACGACAACGCGTCTGGCGGAGAGCCACGGAGAAGTACAGAATTATACCGTCGACGAAATAATCTGCGCGCCGCGCAGCTGATACGTAACGCGGACTCGCGGGTTAGGGGTCGCGCACTTTCCGTTGGCGTCGTGATCGCGTCCGAATGCTCTAGGCGTGAAGTTTAGCGTCGTGCGGTAGTCCTGTTGTAGTTCGTTGGGTCTTAGCTGTAGCCCTTTTGGGGGGGGGTGTGCGCAGGTTGCCGGTCTACTCGCGATCGGATGTGCTTGCGTCCTCCGTCGTGTCTGTCGGTGAATCGTTCTTCGCTGTAGCCGGGTTAAGTCGCATCGTTGTGTAAAAATAACAATATTTTAAGTATATACACGCTGACGCGCACGCACGCGCATTTACACAAACGACGTGCTAACGCCGCGAAACATCGTGGTTGAAGTTACGGCAAGCTGACGCGGGTCGCAGTGGCGGGCTGTTCACGCGGAGCGGCGAGCGGCGCCGTGGTCCCCTTTGCGTATCGGCGCGTGCGGAGGGGACGCTCGGAAATGTTGCGTGGAGGACGAGGGGCAGCTTTGGAAGTTGGGGAGTGGGAACGTGGCGAGGTGGATGCAGTGGTGGAGGGGAAGGGGTTGCGGTGGACGGGGGAGACGTGTCGTGTGGAGGGGGAGGGCGGGGGCGAGCGACTTGCAGGTTCGGCAACGCAGCGGGGGGGGGGGGGGTGTTTCAGAGGCCTTGTAGATGTAACGGGGAAGCAGGAGGAGAGGTAGTGATGGGTGGGGACGCGTGGTGACCAGGGTGAAAGGTGGAGGCGGCCAGGTCGGCGAGACGTCAGCTGGAGTGGCACCCAGAAGACAGCAATCTGAAGTGGAGGTGTAGATGGTGTTGGTGTTGGTGGAGGAGGTGAAACTGGTCGGTGCGTTCCTTGGAGAGGCAGCTGCTGACTCTGTAACAAACTGCAGGCTCGAGCAGAAGGCAGGGCGTGTGGTGGCGTCCAACGCGTTAGTCCGTCACGCCATAGCGCCCTAGACTTGTGTGTGTATGTGTGTGTATATATATAAAACATCCGCAAATGATTTACGTACGCATGTGACTTCGTAAAAGCCCCCCCCCCTCCAGCATCGGCTGGGCAGAGATCGTGACCAATTCTTACAGCTCAGCTGGGGCATAGCAAAAAATCCCCTTTCACCCCATGCTTTGTTGTAATTCCCCGACCCTGTCCACTTTCTGCAATTCCCCTGTTGGCCAAAACTGTCGGGCGATGACGAGTCCACGGGGGTCATGGACTCCCACACCACCTTGAGAGACGAGGCGCTCTGCCCTGGCGCTCGCGCGTGGTTCTGTCGTGACGGTCCAGATGGAAGGTGACGGTTCAGATGTAGGTGAAGGTCCAGAGGTGACGGTCCAGATGTGGTGGTCCAGACGTAGGTGACATTCCAGACGGACGGTCCAGACGACGTAGGCGACGCGAAAAGTGTTCCCGAAATGTCAGTAAACCGCGGTCGAGCGAAAGCGCGTTCCTCGTTTGAACGACCGGCCACGCGTTCAGCGAAGGACTCTGCCGTTCGGCCGAGACTTCCGGATCACCGCCACATCCACGATTCATCGTCGCTCGTTCAAAAACGGAATCTTCGCGGATTATTACTTCCCCGACTGTGAAATGAGAGCAGCTGTCAACCCGGTTTTTTTTTTCTTTTCAAACCAGAGAACCCGGAGAAATAATCCCACGACCACGGGCGGGGAGAGAGAGAGAGAGACACGAACTC